AACATACTAACAGTTACAATACCCATTTGTATTTAATTCTTGTTTAGCATAACATATAAAACACAGTTTTTTTAACTTATATTGGACATATTAGCAATTAATAATGAAATGCATGACTAAATTTAAATGTTCAACGAGGCCAATATATAATAATATGTTTTATTCTTAAGCGCTTACGGAAAGTAGGTTTCCAAAGTTTTTTCATCCAAAAAACAGCCTGACGATGGAAACCTAGTTTCCGTTGAAAGAAACAAATTGTTATATATTGGCCTTGTTGAACATTTAAATTTAAAATGCCAACATAAATAAAACAACAACGCATAAATTTTTTTTATATTTCTGTTTACCCACTTGAAAATGCCAACATGGCGAAACATGTAGTGGATTGAAAAAGACACTATTTATTTGAACTGCAAGACGAGGTATGTTTTAATTTAGTTTATTTAAATTTAGTTATACATTTCATTACTGTTTTTTAAGATTTATAAAATTTAGCTTACACAAAAAACAGATAAAGCATTATTTTGAGCATGTAGACACAAAAATAATTATTTAAATTATATTATATTAAATGGAATTGTGCATTACTAATTATTTAACTTATTCAGCCATTAGCAGGTTCAATATTTTAATTTAGAACGAAGTTTAGAACAAAATTTCCTACCCAAACATTTCAAGATGTACTTTTTCACCGATACTCACATAATCGTATCATAAACACATACTATGTATAAACTCTGACCACATTCGAACAATAGTGACTTTAGGTTTATGCAAATAAACACCGGTATTATTGCAACAGCGAACATTGCTTGAAGGGTTTGTTTATTGGACTTACAATCAAATCCACGGACAAAGCCTAAGTCGCTGTCGTGTCGATAGATTAGCGATATTTCGTGCCAGCTTTTTTACGGCTTCGCTTTTCTTCCTCTGACACCTGGCGCGCGTGCAAAACCTCTATAACGGCAGGTTTTGTTTTCGGCAAGAAGAATTTATTGCCAAACCCTTTAGCAAAACAACGACTTTCACCCCTTTGTTTCCCGTAAAAAGCGCGTCTATTCAACCCCTACAGCTTTCTCCCGGCCAGAAATCTTCCCACCTTGTTTAAAAAGTAATGGGTTCAAAAGTTTTGGATCTTGGTGTTCTCCAATCCGAAATACCTACAGCTTTAGTCCACTGACGACATTTAAATTTTAAATTCATTGAAATGTAACTAAACATGTTCCAGGAATTGTGTTTCTAGCTTGAATACTCTCAAACAGCTAATAATAATACTCAAGGATGTTTTAATTTAAACCTGTGATTTCCCTCCTAACAGCGTCGAATGTTGTTTAGAATTCAAGTTACAATATTGAATATAGGAACGAATTTCGTAACGTAAATTTGACTACAGCTTAAACAAGCTTTACTTATACGTTGAATATGATTTGGACATTACGTATATCATAATACTTAGTCACATCGTTCAATGCTCTGATAGGCTCATATCGTTATTGACAAATTGTAATGAACTGTACTATGTATGTTTTTACTATGTCAATATCAAAATCACATTATTTATGTTTTTTTGACGATTCATTCTATGAAACTCAACTGGCGCGTAGTTTTAAATGCAACGGTACAAGTCAATGTTCACAATTACAATTTGTTTACAGCAATCGATGTTTATTAGGCCAGTATACAGGATACATATTTTTTAATACCTTTGGAACTTGCCACATAAAGACGATTACTTAAAATGTACAGACAAATGTCCATTCATAAAAACATTACAAAAATACCACGTGCTTTAAACTCAGGACATTAATTTAAGAATATCCGTGAATATCCTTAAAGCCCTGTTAGCTGTGATTTTGTGAAAGCTACATGTTAAAGGTGTAATAATAGTAATACAATCCACCGGTTTTAGATAACTTATTTCCTGGGCAAGTATAATTGTGGATACCTATCTACATTATTTTGACTTTCTTTCTCCTTTCATACTCTGTATCATTTTTACAAGTTAAATTCGAAATAGATGCATTGTTCATTTCCACCGACATATTTATTTATACAATAACTTACTCTAGTAGGAGATTTTGAAGTGTGGGGATTTCCTGTAAAATACTTAACGGCCAACACCATTAAAAGACCCATGATTTTATCGGTCCCATAAAACTTAAAATTTGATAGGAAATGCATGAATTTTATGAAAAACCCAAGATTGTAACGCCACGTGACATACAAGTAGAATTTTGAAGTACCCGGTAGCAACGAGCCAAGGTTCTCTGCTAACTAGAATGTATTAAACACGGTTTCATTATGGCCGCCGTGCGCGCTATTTCAGGGTACAGTGTTGCCGCTGTGTGCACGCTTGCCTGTGCCGCTCCCTCCAACGACCACTCACCACTCACCACTCACCAGCTCCACTCAATAACCCTACCCTAACATTGCTTATTAGCTCGTTTATACTTTCATAAGTTGGCAATATTACGCATCTTACTTAAGTATTCGTAAAAGAATCTTATTCTTTTCCTCGACGTTAGCTATAATTCTGTGATTGTTGCTACGTTTAGGAGAACTTATTGCATATTTTAGCGATTTTCCCAGGGAATAAGCTATTGTATAGTTCGTAGCGTTACGTATAGTTTTTCCTATTATAAGTTGGCAAATATCTTTATTTTAACGTACGCAAAATAGGTTGAAATTCTCTGCCGTATTGTAATCATTATTCTTTAGGTTGTTGACCATGTTTTGAAGGACATATTGCACACTTTGTATCGTTCAAAATATTGTATACTGGGTTTACGTTCATATGTTGACGATATGTATGAAAGTATTCGTGAATGTGACCACATTCTTTGTATTAGCTAAGATGTTGACTATGTTTTCGGAAATACATTGCACTCAATGTGTAGTTCGAATTTTCCGTGGTTTTTAATAATGCCAAACTCATCATAGATTCATCTTGAACCAAAAATGTACGAACTAAAGCTCATGATATAACTGTTAACAATTATGGACAACATCCTGGTAGAAATGGGAACATTTCGAAACTTTGATATTACGTAGGTATACGGCAAAAAAAATCACCGATTTAGTATAAAAGTCAACATTTAAAATAAGCTAAGCTAGAAATAAGCTAAGTCTATCGTAGATTTTGTGCAGTACAGAGCGTAATCGTCTTTTTTTTTCAAGACAAAGAACGATAAAATCTGATAGAGCAGTTAACTCAATGGACAGCAATGGAATGTATAAATATATTTATAGCCTATATGAATGTGAGTGGAGTTAAATTGCAAGTATTAAGCTAAAAAGAGACAAGAGCAACTCAAAAACACATTAAAGCACCGTTGAGAGTTGTTAATTAATCTTGGTACTTAAAAAAGTGTAGTTTTAAAGACATTCGTGAAGCTAAAATAAAGGTTAAGAACACTTCACCAAAATATAAAAGAATCGTCGAGAGGTGGTAACAAATCTTTGTAAACAAATATAAACGGAGTTACATAGCAAATTGACAAGATTAAAGAGAACTTGAAAGTGAACTCTGTCAAGAATGAATGCTCTATAAATTGGTAGCATTTAGTCAAGTATAACAATAGCAATTATTTTCAATTCTAAAAGATGCTTATATCTCTTCACCGAGGTATGGAAGTATTGTTGTAAGTAGGTACTGAGTGTTAGTACATGAATATAAGTTAAGTTATATTGTGAAGCTAAAGGAGAGGTTTAGAGCAATTCACCGAAATATAAAAACATTGTCGAGTTAACTACAAATCTTCATGAATAAAGGAGTTGTATAGCAATTCAAAGCTAAAGGAGAGGTTCAGAGTAGTTCACCAAAGTATAAAAACATTGCCGAGAGTTAATGCTCTACAAACTTGTATGAATTCAGTCAAGTGGGCCACAAACTGGCAGTAGCACCAATTGTCCCTAATTGGTCAATTAATCAGTTTTGACCTTTCTATTGTTTACCCGCTAGTTTACATACCGCCTCTTCTACAACTCCGAACACTGGTTCTCGTTGTCAAATTATGTAAATCTCATTATAATCTAATCAGTGTTTCTAGTCTTTCATTCTTCTGAATGAATAATGCATCGAATAACGCGCGACGTGAAGTTTGTTAAAAAATATGATGTAGCTGAGGAAACATTGACACAAACGTTTCCGAATCAATGTACAAAAATCGCAAATTTTTACTAGGTTTAAAAAATATAAAGCACTATTACACATAACCGACTTTTCAGCAGGCTACATAATTTTTTTTTTCAACTATTGCCTATATACGCGTAGTATCACAATCCAGTAAAGTAATAATGGAATGTCTCAACCCACCGTATTGATTTTAATAGGCCTACACCATAATATTTCTTTCAAGAATTACCATAATATCACTTAAAAAGGCCATTTCTAACAACTAAAACTATACTATACAAAATGTGTTTTGCACTTACGTTCTAGTTTTTAATAAACCTTTAAAAATGTGAAAAGGAATCAAAGATTATTTTTTTGAAAATTATTAGAATAGTATAAATATATACACGGTCATTTATTTTAATTTGCAGTGATTAGATCTTTATCTAGTGTTGATGAAATGTTTTAGTTACAAATGAAAAATAATGTCTGATAAGTATATATTGAGGACTTATTTCACTGTCCGTTTCAAAATGATGCAATAGTCTATTGTCTATACTTTGCTTAGTTTAATTTAAATCAGATTCATAATTTATATAAAATAGTTAGGCTTTAAGACATTTATATATTTTCCAAAAATGTAAAAATTACTGTTAATTCTTGATCCGGTGGAGTGAAATTTTTATGCCCATTTAATCGCCCAAATCATGATTCCTTTCATCATATTTAATATGTTAATGGCATAGGCTTTTTATTAGTAAAATTATAATAACTAGTTATCCAAATATCTTTCAAAATATTGGTCAGTAAATAAGCTAAATTTTTCTATAAAACAATCGGCATCAAAACCTTACCAGAAGGAGTTATTGTTATAAATGGTACTTACCACAGACAACGCGATCGAATGGGCTCATCCAATCTGTAAAATAAACACGTTTTACTCACATTATGTTTTAGTTAAACGATTAACAACGTAAATGATACACTTCATTAATTATTAATGCTATACTATACTCATGCTTTTACACAAATACAAAACAATTAGTGAATCACACAAAACATGCATAGTATGCTAAAGATACACAGATTAAATACACACAAAAATCTAAATATAAAATCTACACGTGCTTGAACATAAAATGACATCAATTTGTGAAAACATACGAGCTAATGGTAAAAACTATCAAGGAAAATGTATTTCACGATTCATATATGGTGGCCCACCGAAATTCTCAACAACATAGTAGATCATAGAGGTCTGAACAGTGAATATACATTAGTGTAAAACATGCCATGCGATAAATTAGATCACAGCACAGAGGAAATTCTATTTTGCTTTTGGGGAAATTTTATACCGGAAGAATTTGAAGTAGTAATGAAAAAGGTATTTCAAAGACAATTAACAAATAAAGACAACACAAAACAAACATATCTTTACACAAAAAGACTTTTCCAGCAATAACAAATCATAAACAACATTACGTGGTGACTTGAATTTGAAAAATTGTCTATAGATGTATGATCAGAACTAGGAGGATTAATCATAATCCCCAGGGAAGATAATAATGGGAAATTTCTTTATGGCATTTTATGGTCGATTTTAAATAATAGGGATTTCACATTCATATATACTGGGTGGCAAAAATAAACCAAGTAAAAATGGCACTCATTAAAAGATTTCTTAACTTTTGCAATTTTTTACCACGATGTTTTATGTCAAAATTCTAAAATTCATTTAATCTTATAATGACTGTAATTTGTTATTTGTTTTTTTTTTGTTTTTTTTTTTTTTTTAGTTTTCGGCATTGTCTTTTACTCATAAAGACCTTAATCTTATGTTTATATCTATTAGGGAATTTCTATTGATTTGTTGTCGACCGTCTCCCACTGATAATTCAAGAAATCTTTGAACGGCTCTCATAGTTGCCACGGTTGTCGGTTTCAGTTCGTATTTGAAGCATTGCATTCTAATGATAATGATTTTATTGAGTGTGCGTAATAACCTATGCTTACACTTAAGTTTGTTTTTGACTCCTAGCGGGCTGTCCGCTGCAGAGGTAGCGTATTACTGATTAATGTGTAACAAATTAATCAATGTATTTTATGCCCAGTAACTTGAATTGAAGTTTCGTAGCATTATTAGTTCGTTTAATATTCAACCGTCCCGGATATTTTTTGCCACACTTTAATATTGTTAGGTCTATTCAGTGATATTATTTAATTTAGACATGTATTTATGTTTTGTGCATCAAAGTAAAGTGTACATACAAAATTATCATGGCGTTTAGGTTTTGCCTCAAAACTCAAAACACAAGAATGCAAAGCTAAGCATAAAATTGCTCAACTACGTTACCTCTCGTACAAAGGTTAGGTTAGGTTAGGTTAATATTAAATCAACACTTAAATCCGTAATAAAAAACAGGATTTTTCTTAGCCGTCTCACAAAACGGTCAAAGATAAAACTTTAACCCAAATAAACTTACAACTTTGCAAAGCTGTATGAGAAATTTCATTTTACGTTTTGCTTCGTTAGGTTAGTTTAGGTTAGGTTTGGTTTGGTTTGGTTTGGTTTGGTTTGGTTTAAAAGATTCCACATTATGTTGCATTTTTGTTTCTCAAAACAATTAAAACCTGTAATGGATTCATAAGTTAAAGTGTAAACTGCTCTCTGCTCGAATAGGCCAGCATTTTATATACAAACTATGAAAGGGCAGCGTGTTATTAGAGTTTGGGATGTATTATCACAATCAAAACGGTATTCGACAAACGTTTTGCTGCTTTCATTTTATCGGTGTTAAGAAAAACTTTTCAATTTTATAATGTAGTACGAAAATCAACATCAAGCTAAGATAGACACTATTATACAAAGCTAAATTTCATAAACGGTAATGGAAATATAAGAAGACAGTTATCTCACATTGTAATAAATAAAAAGTACAAATTCCAAATTAATTCAGCAGTTGAAGTAATCAAATTCAAGTACACCACTTTGTCTTAACCAAATTTTTCAAACGCGATTGTAACTCATGTAAAATAAATATGATGTAGATAATTAAGTAAGCCATTACCGAATCGGCCGAGTGTGCCACGACGCTAGGGCTTATCAAGCTTTAATGATAAGAATTATCAGTAAAGGTCAACTGAAACGATCGATGTACTCGTTTGACTTAAGTAAATTAAGCTTAACATGGCGACAGCTTGTTTGTATACTGTGGGCCAGATTACAAGAAATTACAGATAAAAAACGATAGTTTATAAGGAAAAACCTCTTATTTTCGTTATTGTCTATGGCCTAGTTAAGTTAAATTACAAGAAAAAAAGAGAAAAAAACGCTAGCTGGAGTTAAATATGAAACGATTGTAGCCTATAACGAATTCAAAAAGTAGCCCCTCTTAAGATAATACAGGGTGTGTTTTTTTTACAAAACCCAACTAGTTAGAACTACCGTGAGACCCAAACCAGCTTATATGTTGGTATCCCAGTTTTCTTTAATTCATTGCCGATCAGCTGAAATGCATTGTTGCGTAGATATGTATGAGATTTAGTTTAATTTAGAATTCATCATAAATAAGACTTAACGTGTAAGACTCAAATAGAGTATGTATTGTTGGTCTACGATCTTCGGTTTTCTACAGATCTGAATTCCTTAAATATTTAATACCCTATAAATAGTTTTTTTTCGTACTGAAATAACACGGGAAGTTAATTTCAGACCTATCTTGTTATAAAATCAATGATTTACTTTTAATGCACAAAACATACTCTTTCAGCTAGTGAACCCCGGTTCGGTTGAGTCTTATTAACAACAATCTACCAATAACACTAAAACTCATAGATTCAAAAATGCATATTAGGTGATCGGCAATTAAGAAGAGAAAACAGGGATGCCAACATATAAGCTTGTGTTGTCGATAAACAGTATATTACGGTACTTGAAATTTGGATTGCGTTTAAACAAAAGGTTAGGGTTCCCAACGTTAGTTAGTCTAAAGTTAGGTCATATTTGTTTTTATTTCTAAGTATTGAAAATTTTTAATTGTTTGGTTTCAAAAATACTTTGCTAAACGAAATATTTTGGGACAAGTTTCAATGTATTACCATTTAAGATAATAGTTTAAGTTTTTAATAGCAATACATTGCAAAACAGAAGAAATATGACATGGACTTAAGCATGCGATACAGGTATTGAGTTGAAATCAAGAAATATTGTAAAAAAGTAATTGATATTCAAGGTTAAGAACAAAACATTAGATATTTCAAATGTACCAATGAATTAATTTACAAAAAAATAATTGTTAATTAATATACTGTCATAAAATTGATTACATTTATCAATCTAAAGCAGTAAAACTTGTTTATAACAAAAGTAATAAAATCATGGGTGTTTATGGAGTAATTTCAATTAATTTTATCAAAGTACGTGGCTAAGGGTCAAGTCCATGATTTATCTCAGTTTTATTTTCTTTCAGAAATAGATATTGTCTAATAAGGTTGATTCTTTGAACTCTTGATAAACCCTGAACACAATAAATATGTTTACATAAATCATCGGGCTAGACTTTAAAATATGATGTCGCTTACCGAAATGTATTGTACTGTTGTAAATATATTGTACCCATTGAAAAAATACTAGAAAATCGAAACTAAAAATAAATGCCAAATAGATTCAAATTATGTTTTGTTTTTATGTGAATCACGTTACTTCAATATTGGAAATTATGAATCATTATAGCTACATTGTTTACAACTACCTTAAATGAAGAAATCTGTTACTTTATTTCGATCAATATTTATTCCAGGTTGGAGTAAAAAAGCACTAATAACGTATTATATTTAGCAATACACCGTTAATTGACTAAATGTGTATTTCACAAATTACAATACATATTATGATGCGTATACGTATTGTGGATATTCAAACAGATATCTAGGCTACATAATATATGGACCATAAAATAATCTTTCAAACGTAAGACTTTGCACATCATAGACAATACAGTGACTTCTCTCTTAGTTGTCCTATTGATGATTGAAAAAATTAACAGCATATTTAAATGTTCGTAACAGATCGTTTTTAAGTGTTCTTAGTCATTATTCGGCATTTTATAGACACTAAACACTAAAAGTCATAAAAAATGGAAGAATTTTGAGTTACCTATTTGGGGCCGAGGTTTTTAAATGCGCTTTGCGAGTTTCCTAGCCATGTTGATAGATGTTAGGTTTTAAGACTTATTCCTAATCTTTCAAATCCCAAGGAATTCTCTAAAGTTACATCATTTTGTACTATTCAATATTGACCTAAGTAACGTAAAAGTTACCTCAATACACGGGCTAGATCAACATGACTAGAGGTAGCAATCGTTAAGCTACGTTCGGAAATCAGTGACATAATTTGACGATTAAATACTGATTCAATCAGCTCATCCAAATGCGTAATCATCAATTACACCAAAAGTTCAAACTAAGCAAGAATACAACTAGAACCTCGAAATGTCCCGTTCAACTTCAGGCCATTTAAGAGCAAATGCAGTTCAGCAGTTTAATCAAGTAATTTAGTTCATTCCTTCGCCTCTACCTTGAACCTCTGAGAGAATCCAATTCCAAGTCAGTGGACCGTTATCGACGACGAGGGGGTGGCGGGGGTGAAGGGGCGAGGGGAGAGACGCACGAAGTTGAAGTTTACGAGGAGGACTCGCGTCCTCACGGTATACACCATCACCGCCAGTAGAATTACTCTGCGAAATTGCCTTCGCCATTAGAACCACGCGGACGCGGGGTAACACTTCTACGAAACGTTTTGGAAAATACTCACCAATCAGGTGTAAAGACAATGCTACAATTGTTTCCCTCAATTATAAAATCTATTTTCCTAATTCCCTTTTGTTTTGCGGTCGTAAATATGTCGGGTTTTATTAAATT